GCCTATAATCCCAGGTACTCAGGAGCTGAGATCACACCATTGCACTCCAGCCTGGGCAACAAGAACAAAACTGTCTTCCCCGCCGCCCAAAAAAAAAAAACACTACTCCAATACTGCACCAGGCCAGTATCCTGGTATCTCTGCAGCTACTCGGGAGGCTGAGGCAGGGGAATCGCTTGAACCCAGGAGCTGGAGGTTGCAGTGAGCCGAGATCACGCCATTGCACTCCAGCCAGGGCCACAAGACCAAAACTATGCCTCATCCCCCACCCCCCGAACAATCAAACAGCAGCTGTTCCATAGCAGAAGCCAATTTTGGGGCTGTTCCTCCAGGGGGACAAGGGAGGGAAGGGGGTGGGTGTCTGGGCCCTGCCCCTCCCCCACCTGGTGCTCCCACCACCCTTGTTCCTCCCAGGCCAGTGGTGGGCGAGCGTGGGGATGGACGGCTTGCTCAGCATCCACAGCATGCCAGTGGGGACAAACGTGTTCCAGGTACTGTGGGGTGAGCTGGGGGTGGGACCTTGGGGTGGCCCCAAAACCATGTTTCCAGCCTGGGCAACACAGCAAGACCCTGTCTGTACAAAGAAAAAATTAAAAATTAGGCCAGGCTCGGTGGCTCACCCCTATAATCCCAGCAGTTTGGGAGGCTGAGGCAGGCAGATCATGAGGTCAAGAGATCAAGACTATCCTGGCCAACATGGTGAAACCCCATGTCTACTAAAAATACAAAAAAAATTAGCCAGGCGTGGTGGTACACACCTGTGGTCTCAGCTACTTGGGAGGCTGAGGCGGAAGAATCGCTTGAACCCAGGAGGCAGAGGTTCCCGTGAGCCAAGATTGTGCCACTGCACTCCAGCCTGGTGACAGAGCCAGACTCTCAAAAAAAAAAAAAAAAAAATTACCCAGGCATGACAGCTCACACCTATAATCCCAGCACTTTGGGAGGCTGAGGCAGGAAGATCCCTTTCAGTTAGGATTTCAAGACCAGCCTGCCCAACACAGTGAGACCCCATCTCAACAAAAACTCAGAAAAGGCCGGTCAGGGTGGCTCACGCCTGTAATCCCAGCACTTTGGGAGGCCGAGGCAGGCGGAATTGCCTGAGCCCATGAGTTCAAGACCAGCCTGAGCAACACGATGAAACCCCGTCTCTATTAAAATATAAAAAATCAGCCTGGCGTGGGTGGAGGAGACCTGTGGTCCCAGCGACGCGGGAGGCTGAGGCAGGAGAATCGCTTGAACCCGGGAGGCGGAGGTTGCAGTGAGCTGAGATCCCACCATTGCCCTCCAGCCTGGGCAACGGAGCAAGACCCTGTCTTGTCTTCTTGGAAGAGCCCATGCCTCATGCTAGAGCTGACGGGTAAAGACCAGGGGTGCGTGAGCCCTTCCCCAGCTCAGTGCCTACGGTTCCCCCTCAGGTACCCGAGACGTCCCCGATCCTGTGCTGTGACATCTCGTCCAACAACCGCCTCGTTGTCACCGGCTTCAGTGAGCACGCCGCCGTGTACCAGATGACCTACTGAGGGGCCTTGGCTGCCGTCATCGGACTGCACTCCTTTCTGTCCCCCGCCTTTTTCTTCCCCCAACCCGGTGGTCGTGGTGGAGGGAGGTGGGGAAGGGTCTTCTACCGTGTTGAAAACCCCCCTCTGTGGTGAGCTGGCTCATTGCCGTCACACGTAATAAAGCATCCAGGAAAAGCAGAGCGGATGCGGCCTGTCCTCTGAAGGGGAAGGGGCCTCCCCATCCCGTCCCTGCTCGTTTTGTGGAAAATTGGAAGGACTTTATCCAGCCTGGTGGCTCTTAGCCTTTTTTTTTTTTTTTTTTTCCTTCCAGGATCTGTCGCGAAGGCTGGAGTGACGCCACCGTCCTCTCCATCCTCCTGCCTCACCCTCTGGAGGAGCTGAGACGGCAGATGTGCGCACCACGCCCGGCTGATCTAATCTTTTTAGATGCTGGGCACGGTGGCTGACACCTGTAATCCCAGCACTTTGGGAGGGCGAGGCAGACAGATCATTTGAGGTCGGGTGTTAGAGACTGGCCTGGGAAACACGGTGAAACCCCGTGTGTACTAAAAATACAAAAAATTAGCTGGGCGCGGTGGCTCAAGCCTGTAATCCCAGCACTTTGGGAGGCCGAGGCGGGTGGATCACGAGGTCAAGAGATCGAGACCATCCTGGTCAACATGGTGAAACCCCGTCTCTACTAAAAATACAAAAAATTAGCTGGGCGTGGTGGCGCGTGCCTGTAATCCCAGCTACTCGGGAGGCTGAGGCAGGAGAATTGCTTGAACCCAGGAGGCGGAGGTTGCGGTGAGCCGAGATCACGCCATTGCACTCCAGCCTGGGTAACAAGAGTGAAACTCCGTCTCAAAAAAAAAAAAAAAAAAAATTCTTTGCAGGCCGGGCACCGTGACTCGTGCCTCTAAGCTAGGACTCTAGTCAGGGCCACAGACTCCCCGACCTGGGGAGTGGATCCACGTTTCTGCCACCCAGAGCAGCTCCAATCTCCTGCGACCTATCAGGTGTGATCCCGGAACCACGTGAGTGGTCCTTCCCCAGACACGTCCCGTTTAACCAGTGGGTCTCCCACGGGGTGACTGTGCCCCCAAGGGACTCTAGGCGATGGCTGGGGCATTTCCGGTTGGCATGACTTGCGGGGTGCCCCTGGCATGGAGTGGGCGGGGAGAGGAACACTGCTCGCCACCCTGCGGTGCCCAGGATGGACCCGCCCTAGGGAACAGTCCTGTCCCGCTGTCCACAGTGCTAAGGTTGACGTGAATTTCCAGTAGTTTCTCTGGCCAGCCTTCCTCCCACACTAATTAGGGCTCTGGAAATGCCCTTTGCCCACTCTGCCTTTTCCAAGCTGGGAAGGGGCCCAGATGTCAACGGGTTCCTTAATTCAGGTAATTATCCCTTTCCTGCGTTATCTCCAGAAATGTCGGCCAGGGCGCGCCTTCTGTTCTCAGCAGGAACCCTCCCCTCTCCTTCCAGAACATTCCCAGTGACGTCTGTGCTCCACCTAAATTATTCTGCCTTAAACTTTTTTTTTTTTTTTTTGAGACGGAGTTTCGCTCTTGTTGCCCAGGCTGGAGTGCAATGGCGCGATCTCGGCTCACCGCAACCTCTGCCTCCTGGGTTCAGGCAATTCTCCTGCCTCAGCCTCCCGAGTAGCTGGGATTACAGGCACGCGCCACCATGACCAGCTAATGTTTTGTATTTTTAGTAGAGACGGGGTTTCACCATGTTGACCAGGATGGTCTCGATCTCTTGACCTCGTGATCCACCCGTCTCGGCCTCCCAAAGTGCTGGGATTACAGGCATGAGCCACCGCGCCCGGCAGCTAATTCTTGTATTTGTGGGAGAGACTGGGTTTTACCCTGTTGGCCAGGCTGGTCTCAAACTCCTGACCTCAAGTGGTCCACTCAGCTCAGCCTCCCAAAGTGCTGGGATTACAGGTGTGCGCCACCACGCCCAGCCGGGGATAACTTTTTTAAGAGACAGTCTTGGGACTGGGCACGGTGACTCTCACCTGTAATCCCAGCACTCTGGGAGGCCAAGGAGGATGGATCCCCTGAGGTCAGTTGATCAAGTCCAGCCTGGACCAAATGGTGAAACCCCATCTCTACCAAAAATACAGAAACTAGCCAGGCGTGGTGGTGCGTGCCGGTAATCCCAGCTACGGGGGCGGCTGAGGCAGGAGAATCGCTTGGACCCAGGAGGCTTGCGGATTGCAGGGAGCTGAGATCACACCACTGCACTCTCATCCTGGGCGAGAGCAAGACCCCGTCTTAAAAAACAAAAAAAAAATGTCAGCTAGGTGGAGTGGCTCCTGCCTGTAAACCCAGCACTTTGGGAGGCCATGTGGTCGGATCACTTGAGCCCAGGAGTTTGAGACCAGCCTGGGCAACACAGTGAGACCCCATCTCTACAAAAAATAAGTTAATCAGAAAATCGGGGGTGGTGTCTGTCTATAGTCTGTGTTGTTGGGGAAGCTCAGGAGGTGGAGGGGAGCTATGCTTGTGCCACGGTACACCAGGCCGGGCAACAGAGTGTCACCAGGCCGGGCAACAGAGTGAGACCCTGTCTTAAAAGAAATTCCTGGGTCAGGCGCGGTGGCTCATGCCTATAATCCCAGCACTTTGGGAGGCCGAGGTGGGTGGATCACGAGGTCAAGAGATCGAGACCATCCTGGTCAACATGGTGAAACCCCGTCTCTAGTAAAAATACAAAAAATTAGCTGGGCATGGTGGCACCGCCTGTAATCCCAGCTACTCAGGAGGCTGAGGCAGGAGAATTGCCTGAACCCAGGAGGCGGAGGTTGCGGTGAGCCGAGATCACGCCATTGCACTCCAGCCTGGGTAACAAGAGCGAAACTCCGTCTCAAAAAAAAAAAAAATCCTGGCCAGGCATGGTGGCTCACACCTGTAATCCCAGCTCTTTGGGCGGCTGAGGTGGGCGGATCACTTGAGGGTGGGAGTTCGAGACCAGCCTGGCCAACATGGTGAAACCCATCTATGCTAAAAAAAAAAAAAAAAAAAAAATTAGCTGGGTATGGTGGTATTCTTAAATCCCAGTTACTGGGGAGGCTGAGGCAGGAGAATCACTACAACCCAGGAGGCAGAGGTTGAGTGCAGTGAGATGGCACTGTTACATTCCAACCTGGGCAATGGAGTGAGACTCCATCTCAAAAAAAAAAAAAATCTGCACTTGGAGGCCTGAGTGACGAGCTGGAGTAGAGCCCTGTACGCTGTGAGTATGAGCTAGAAATAAATCTATTCAGCCCGAGCCACGGGGGCTGCTCGTCACACATCAGCATCTCAACCACCCTGCCCAACCCAACTTGTCTGTCTCGAAGGAGACCTTTCACACGACATGCAGGCACCTCTGAAAATCCTGCGGCATGAATCCTCCTTACCGCCCATCCCGTCACCAGGAACCAGCCGCCTCCCAGCACCAGCGGCCGAGAGAAGCGAAGATCCCTAGTTCCCCAACACGAGCGAGAAATGCGGATGCCATAAATACATTTATTTCCACCAAGGCCCCTGCCCAGCGGCCCCCCACATGCAGCAGGGGTGAACCCGCTGGCCAGAGAGCAGACGGTGCTGCGGGCTCACAGGCAGGGCGGGCGGACGCCTGCTGGGTGCCTGTCCTGGAGCTGCTTCCCCTTGGAGCCTGGACTTCGGGTGCAGGAGCGTGGGGGGGGGGAGGGTCTCAGTAGACCACCTCGTACACGGTGGCCTTCTTGTCCCCCGAGCCCGTCACGATGTATTTGTTATTCCTGGATATGTCACAGCTCAGGACAGAGGACGATTCCTTAGACTGCCGAGGGAAGAGGGAGAGGGGAAAAGGCAGGGTGAGCACGGTCCCCACGGATGCGGGCAACGTGGGCGCAGAGTCAGGAATGGGAGAGCAGGGCTCTGCACTGAGTGACTCATTCTTTTTTTCTTTTTTAGAGGTGGAGTTTTGTTCTTTAGCCCGGCTGCAGGAGCGCAGTAGCAGGATCTCGGCTCACCGCAACCTCCGCCTCCTGGGTTCAGGCAATTCTCCTGCCTCAGCCTCCCGAGTAGCTGGGATTACAGGCACGCGCCACCATGCCCAGCTAATTTTTGTATTTTTAGTAGAGACGGGGTTTCACCATGTTGACCAGGATGGTCTCGATCTCTTGACCTCGTGATCCACCTACCTCGGCCTCCCAAAGTGCTGGGATTACAGGCTTGAGCCACCATCCCCGGCTAATTTTTTTTGTATTTTAACAGAGATGGAGTTCCACCATGTTGGCAAAGATGGTCTTGATCTCCTGACCTGGTGATCCACCCGCCTTGGCCTCCCGAAGTGCTGGGATTACACCGTGAGCCACCGCGCCCGGCCATTTTTTTTTATTTTTAGTAGAGACGGAGTTTCGCCTTGTTGGTCAGACTGGTCTCAAACTCTTGACCTCAGGTGACCCAGCCGCCTCGGCCTCTCAAAGTGCTGAGACGACAGGTGTGGGCCACCACGCCATTCCTTTTCTAGACACAGGTGCATTGGAGCTAAGTCCCTTGGGCAGAGCAGAGCCGCCACACCCTCGATACCAAGAGATGGGACTGAAGAGCTGCCCTTTCTGAGAAGCTCAGAGCGGGTGTGCACCAGGCGTGATGTCACACGGCAGAGCAGAGGGGCAAGGCAGCGGCCTAGACGAGGGGTCTGCAAACTTCACAAAGGGCCGGATGAGTAAATATTTCAGGCTTTGCCTAAAGTCTGTTACATATTCTGGGATTTTTTTCCTTACAACCCTTTAAACCTCGCTTGAGGTTGGGAGTTAGAGACCAGCCTGGCCAACATGGCGAAACCCCGTCTCTACTAAAAATACAAAAATTAGCCAGGCGTGGTGGTGGGTGCCTGTAATCCCAGTTACGCAGGAGGCTGAGGCAGGAGAATTGCCTGAACCCGGGAGGTGGAGGTTGCGCCATTGCACTCCAGCCTGGGTAACAAGAGCGAAACTCCATCTCAAAAAAAGAAAATTAGTCAGGCGCTGCTGGGTGCAGTGGCGGCTCGTGCCTGTAATCTCAGCACTTTGGGAGGCTGAGGTGGGTATCACCTGAGGTCAGGAGTTCAAGACCAGCCTGGCCAACATGGTGAAACCCCGTCTCTACTAAAAATACAAAAAAAAAAATTAGCTGGGCGTGGTGGTGGGTGCCTGTAATCCCAGCTACTCTGGAGGCTGAGGCAGGGAGAATTGCTTAAACAAAGGAGGCAGAGGTGGCAGTGAGCTGAGATTAGCCAGTGCACTCAGGCCTGGGTGACAGAGCCAGACTCTGCCTCAAAAAAAAACCCAACAGGAAAATGAGGCCCTCGGGCTGAATTCCAACCTCTGCTTTAGTACCTGGCAACGGGGAGGCTTCAGGACCCCGAGGAGCGGTCAGGGTGGCTGGGGGTGGGCCCAGGGGATGCACACGGGCAATTTCTTTGACCCTGGCATAGCTGAGCACATGGCCCACTGAGTACCTGGAAAATGCTGGCCCCGTACGGCGTCCTCCAGGCGTTGAGCAAGTTGTCCTTCCCTGTGCTCACAAACCACCGTCCTGGGGAGGGAGAGCAGCACAGTTCAAAGAGGGGGACTGAAGATGGTCCAGGGCTGCCGGGGGAGGTGGGGCAGGCTGGGTCTGGCCTCTCCCCGGTCCTTATTCCGCTCCCCTCTCAAGGGGTCTTGGGGGGACTGAAGAGGGTCCAGGGCTGCCGGGGGAGGTGGGGCAGCCTGGGTCTGGCCTCTCCCTGTTCCTTATTCCGCTTCCCCTCTCAAGGGGTCTTGGAGGGACTGAAGAGGGTCCAGGGCTGCCGGGGGAGGTGGGGCAGCCTGGGTCTGGCCTCTCCCTGTTCCTTATTCCGCTGCCCCTCTCAAGGGGTCTTGGAGGGACTGAAGAGGGCCCAGGGCTGCCGGGGGAGGTGGGGCAGCTTGGGTCTGGCCTCTCCCTGTTCCTTATTCCGCTGCCCCTCTCAAGGGGTCTTGGGCAGGTGCAGTGGCTCATGCTGGCAATCCCAGCACTTTGGGAAGCTGAGGTGAGCAGATCACCTGAGGTCAAGAGTTGCAGATCAACCTCACCAACAAGGAGAAACCCTCTCTTCTAAAAATACAAACATTAGCCGGGCATGGTGGTGCCTGCCTGTAATCCCAGCCACTCAGGAGGTGGAGGCAGGAGAATCGCTTGAACCCCGGAGGTGGAGGTTGCAGTGAACGGAGATTACGCCATTGAACTCCAGCCTGGGTAACAAGAACGAGACATCTCGGGGACAAAAAAAAAAAAAAAAAAAAAAAAAAGGTCTTGTTCTGTCGCTCAGGCTGGAGAGCAGTGGTGCGATCACAGCTCACGGCTCACGGCAGCCTCGACCACCTGCGCTCAAGCACGCCTCCAACAGCCTCCCACGCAGCTGGGACCACAGGTGTGCACCCCCATGCCCAGGTAACACTTCTATTTTTTGCTGGGCACACTGCCTCGTAGCTGTAATTCCAGCACTCTGGGAGGCCGAGACGGGCAGATCACCTGAGGTCAGGAGTTTAAGACCAGCTTGGCCAACGTGATGCAACCCCTTCTCTTTGTTTGTTTTTTTTTTTTTTGAGACAGAGTTTCACTCTTGTTACCCAGGCTGGAGTGCAATGGCGCGATCTCTGCTCACTGCAACCTCCGCCTCCTGGGTTCAGGCAATTCTCCTGCCTCAGCCTCCTGAGTAGATGGGATTACAGGCACGCGCCACCATGCCCAGCTAATTTTTGTATTTTGAGTAGAGACGGGGTTTCACCATGTTGACCAGGATGGCCTCGATCTCTTGACCTCGTGATCCACCCGCCTCGGCCTCCCAGATGGCAGACACTTATAATCCCAGCTACTCGGGAGGCTGAGGCAGGAGAATCACTTGAACCCGGGAGGCGCAGGTTGCAGTGAGCTGAGATTGCACCACTGCACTCCAGCCTGGGGGACAGAGTGAGAATTCGTCTCAAAAAAATACATATTTTCTGTGGAGTTGGGGTTTCACTGTGCTGCTCAGGCTGCTCTCAAACTCCTGGCCTCAAGCCATCCTCCCACCTTAGCCTCCCTAAGTGCTGGGATTACAGGTGTGAGCCGCCACGCTCGGCCCAAGTATTGTCTTTTTTTGATATAAGAGATCCCACGGACTATTTAAGATATACGAATCCTAACGAATGATATTTTTAAGAGGCAGGGTTTCATTCCATTGCCCAGGCTGGCAGGCAGTGGTGCGATCGTAGCTGCCTGGAGCCTTGATCTCCTGGGCTCAAGCACTCCTCCTTCCTCAGCCTCCCTAGTATTTGGGACTACAAGGGGGACCCACCATACCCAGCTGTTTTATTTTTTTGTAGAGTCTTGGTACGTCGCCCAGGCTGGTCTTGAACTCCTGATCTGGGGTGATCCTTATAGCTCAGCCTCCTGAGTAGTTGAAACTACGTGCAGCAGCTACTGTGCCTGGCTTACATTTTTTTTTTTTTACTTTATAATTTAAAAAAAAAAAAACTTTTTCATTTAAAGACGGGGTTTCACCATGTTGGTCAGGCTGGTCTTGAACTCCCGACCTCAGGTGATCCACCCGACTTGGCCTCCAAAGTGCTTGGATTACAGGCGTGAGCCACCACGCCCGGCCCTCTTTTTTTTTTTTTTGAGATAGAGGCTCCCTCTTGTCACCCAGGCTGGAGGGCAGTGGTGTGATCTTGGTTCACTGCAACCTCCACCTCTCGGGTTCCAGTGATTCTCCTGCCTCAACCTCTCAAGTAGCTGGGATTTCAGGCAACTGCCACCATGCCCTGCTCATTTTTAAATTTTTAATAGAGATGGGCTTTCACCATGTTGGCCAGGCTGGTCTTGAACTCCTGACCTCAGGTGATCTGCCCGCTTTGGCCTCCCAAAGTGTTAGGATGACAGGCGTGAGCCACCGCGCCTGGCCTTAAATTTGAATCTCGGATAAGTCATCAATTTTTAGGACAGGTATATACCAAATATCTCATTATTTGGCTTTTAGTATAAGTATATCCCACACACCATTTGGGATATACTTCTATTAATGACTTGCTTTTGAGTATATAAATCTGAATATATAAGTAACATTTTAGTGCATAAATAACATTATGTGTTATTTAACTAAGATTCAGACTACATAGGCACCCTGGGTTTTGTTGCGGTTTTGGGGGTGTGCCACTCCAGCCCAGTAGACATACCACAGGAGGCGAACTTGAGGGACAGGACGCAGCTCTCGTGGAGGTGCAGCTGGTACTTCTCCGGCTTGCGGACATGCAGGATCTCCACGTTGCTACTCTCCATTCCGACGGCCAGCCAGTCCTGGTTAGGGCAGTGGCCCAGGGAGAAAATCTGGGGGTAAAGAGGGAAGAGATGGGGTCACGAGCCCCCCTTTGTTTTGTGTTGAGACGGTATCTCTCTCTCCGCCACCCAGGCCAGAGTGCAGTGGTGCAATCATGGCTTACTGCAGCCTCCATTTCCACAGCTGAGGCTGATCCTCCTGCCTCAGCCTCCTGGGAAGCTGAGATTACAGGCATGCACCACTGCATCTGGATAATTTATTTTTGAGATGGAGTCTCACTGTGTCACCCAGGCTGGACTGCAATGTCACGATCTCAGCTCCCTACAGCCTCCGTCTCCCAGGTTCAAGTGATTCTCCTGCCTCAGCCTCCCAAGTAGCTGGGATTACAGGTGCCTGCCACCATGCCCAGCTAATTTTTGTATTTCTAGTATAGAAGGGCTTTCGCCATCTTGGCCAGGTTGGTCTGGAACTCCTGACCTCAAGCGATCTGCCGTCTCGGCCTCCCAAAGTGCTGGGATTATAGCTGAAAGCCACCATCTCTGGCTTATGAGCCCCTTTGGATATTGGGGGGTGCCCAGCACCAGCAGGGGGTGGGGGGTGGAGTCCAACCTTCTCCCTCTTCAGCTCCCCACAGAGAAAGGCAGCTGGCCCAGGACTGAGAACACAGCAGACAAGTGCATGTCGAATCATTAATATTAATCAGAATTACACAGAACCCTAGGGCCACACATCCATTATCTGCTCTGAGTGCACAATAGCACAGGGGGGAGGAGGGGGGAGGGAACGAGCACGCAAGGACAATCATTCCCCTTAAGCAGATGGTGGAAGCCAAGGCAGTGTCCCCTCAAGGTCACACAGCAATGCTACGAAAGAGGAGTACTCAGCCGGGCACGCTGGCTCATGTCTGTCATCCCAACACTTTGGGAGGCTCAGGCAGGCGGATCACCTGAGGTCAGGAGTTCGTGACCAGCCTGGCCAACATGGTGAAACTCCGTCTCTGCTAAAAACCCCAAAACTAGCTGGGCGTGGTGGCGCGCGCCTGTAGTCCCAGCTACTCTGGAGGCTGAGGCAGGAGAACTGCCTGAACCCGGGAGGCGGAGGTTGCAGTGAGCCGAGATCATGTCACTGCACTCCCATCTTGGAGGCAGAGTGAGACTCCATCTCAAAAACAACAAAAAATGCCCAGAAATCATCAAAATGAAGACCAGGCTAGACATAAAGAGCTTGGGAGGGTGGGAGCAGTGGCTCATGCCTGTAATTCCCACACTGGGAGACCGAGGTGGGTGGATTACTTGAGGCCAGGAGTCCAAGACCAGCCTGGACAACACAATGAAACCTGGTGTCAAAAAAAAAAAAAAACACAAAAATGAGCTGGGCATGACGGTGCATGCTAGTAGTCCCAGCTACTCAGGTGGCCAAGGCACAAGAATCATTTGTACCTGGGACATGGAGGTTGCAGTAAGCTGAGATCACACCACTGCACCAATCTCAAAAACAAGAACTTGGGAGTTAAGAGTTAGTTCCTCTTAGGTTTCAAGGAGGAGGAGCAAACCAGATGGGTCTTGAGGGATGAATAGGAGTTTGCCAATTACAGAAACAAGACAAAGGCATTTCAGCCACAGGGAACAAATGAGCAGAGGTCAGTGTGCGTGAGACCAGCGCATGGAAATCCTGAATGACAGGAGTTCATTCCCTGCCCCCAAAGCAGTGAGAGGCAGAATCTGCGACCACGGTGCCTGAAGATTCACTCTCTTTGCTCAGCCCTGAGGAGCCCCCCGCTCTGTCCAGCCCATTCATCATGCCCTTCACTCAGCTTACGCTCCACCTGGAGTGGCGACCTATCCATGCCCAGCTCCTCCATCAACCTCCGCTCTGTTCCCCTGGCCAGTAACTCCCCCATGGTGTGTCCTCAATGGGAAGTGTGTGTCTGGCACTCCCAGTGGGATCCAGAAATTAAAGGCTGAGAGAAGAACCCAGCTACACAAGGAAAGATAGACATAAGGGAAGGGCTGAACAAAGGCAAGTGGAGAAGATGATCTGAGGGTCTCAGTGGCCCCACAGCTTCATATAAATCGGCTCTCTTGGGTTCCCCTACGTCTTCAGAGAATTAAAGTGGAAGCCTGTGGATGTGTATGCATAAGAAAGATGGACGCTACAGCAGATGTTAGTCCTGTCCTGCCTCTGGAAGTGGCCCCCACAAGGAGAGGAAGGGACTCAGATTCCTGGAGCTTCCATCCCCCTCCCACCAGCACCGAACAGCACCTGGGAGCTGAAGTCGTGCTGCTGCAGCTGGCGGCCCTCCCGCAGGTCCCAGCAGCGCACCGTGTTGTCCAGGCCCCCTGTCCAGAGCCGAGTGCCATAATCAGAAATGTCAATACAGCTGGCGCCGTCCGTGTGGCCCTGGAACTGCCTGGAGGAAGAAGGGCCCAGGCGTCCATCCTGGAATTCCAGCTGCCCCAGCACCTCCCAGGTCAGTCAGTCTACCCCACTGCAGAGAGCGGCCGCGGCTTGCCCGAGGTCCCAGCGCACCTGACCATCGTCTGGTTCTGCAGGTCCCAGACCACAATGTTGCCATCGCTGCAGCAGGAGAAGCAAACCTTGGCGTCGGGGCTGACGGCCAGGGCGTAGCAGGCTGGGGCCGAGGAGGTCAGCTCGGCCTTGATACGGGGAGTGGGCGCTGCCAGGTCCCAAATGGACAAGGTGCTGGCCTCACCGCCCACGATCAGACTCCGGCCATCTGGCAGCAACTTGCAGGAGCGAATGTAGTTGTCTCGGTTCTGGGGCCAGGAAGAGAATCAGGCTGGGGGTTGGTCCCGGGTGAGGTCTCTAGGAGCATGGCTTAATGCGGGGGTCTCTGGAGCTCAAGGGACCCTCATCCTCATTAGCCTGCAAGCCCTGCCCCTTTGGCCCACACTGTTCCATTAGACTGTGAGCTCCGTTATTCACCTACAATCCCGGCCCATGGTAGGCCTGCAAGCCTTACCCTGATTGGCCAGTGAGCCCCATTCCTTTGGCCTGCAAACCCCACCCCATTTGACAAGCTCCACCCTCCACCTGTAAACCCCACCCATGGCTGGCCCGAAAACCCTGTCCTGGGTGGCCTGCAAGTCTTACCCGGATTGACTTGGTGAGCCCCACCCCTTTGGCCTGCAAGCCCCGCCCCATCTGACTATGAGCTCCGCCCTTCACCTGATTGGCCAATGAGCCCCACTTTGGCCTGCAAGCCCCGCCCCATCTGACCATGAGCTCCGCCCTTCACCTGTAAGCCCCACCCATGGTTGGCCTGCAAACCCTGATTGGCCAATGAGCCCCACCACTTTGGCCTGCAAGCCCCGCCCCATCTGACCATAAGCTCCACCCTTCAACTGTAACCCCACCCACGGCCGGCCTGCAAACGCCGCTTCATTTGAATATAAGCTCCACCCCTCACCCGTAAGTCCCGCCCACTGTCCCACCCTGCCCTCACCAGGCAGTCGAGCTGGGCCACGGGTGTCTTGGCCCCAGGCTGGCCCACGTCCCACACCTTCACGCAGCCCTTGCCACCCGTGTATACGTGCTGCGTGGAGCCGCTGATGGTGACCGCGCAGACCACCTCACCGTGCGCCAGTGTGTGCAGCTGCCGGGCGTGCCGAGGGATGCCGGCGCCCACCAGTGCGTCCGAGGGGAAAGGCACCGGCTGCATCTGCCCGTCTGCAGACACGTGGAAGGAGTAGGCCCTAGAGAGAAAGCCTGGGCATGACCCAGCCCTGGGACCACCCCTCCGCGCCCCCACCTGGGAGGGCAGGGAGACGCCTTTATCCTGCCTGGCACCCGATGATGTATTCTTTATTTTTACTTTTTGTTTTGTTTTTGTGTTTATGAGATGGAGTCTCACTCTGTCGCCCAGGCTGGAGTGCAGTGGCACAATCTCGGCTCACTGCAACCTCTGCCTCCTGGGTTCCTGCTATTCTCCTGCCTCAGCCTCCTGAGTAGCTAGGATTACAGGCGTGCACCACTGTGCCTGGCTAAGCTTTACGTATTTTTAGTAGAGACGGGGTTTCATTGTTTTGGCCAGGCTGGTTTTGAACCCCTGACCTCAAGTGATCCGCCCACCTCGGCCACCCAAAGTGCTAGGATTACAAGCATGAGCCACCAAGTCCAGCGTGATGCATTTTTGTTTGAGATGGAGTCTCTGTCACGCAGGCTGGAGTGCAGTGGCACCATCTGGGCTCATTGCAACCTCCACTTCCAAGGTTCAAGTGATTCTCCTGCCTCAGCCTCCAAAGTAGCTGGGATTACAGGCATGGGCCACCACCCATGGCTAATGTTTTTGTATTTTTAGTAGAGTCAGGGTTTCACCATGTTAATCAGGCTGCTCTTGAGCCCCTGACCTCCAATGATCTGCCCACCTTGGCCTCCCAAAGTGTTGGGATTGAGCCATGGTGCCCAGCCCACACAAGAGACTTTCTAGAAGGAGAGCGGGGAGACCCTAACCACACAGGATAAGACCTCAGAGGAGGTGGGGGGCTGGCCCGGGTTCCCAGGCAGGGAGCCCCACCCCGGTACTCACGGCTTTCCCCCGGGGATGCTGGGTAGCGAGGAAGAGACGGATGACCCTCGGAGATGTGGGTGAGACTCAAATGCCATCTGTCAGAAGGCCAAAGGGGGTGTCAGTGAGGCAGGTGACTCTGACTCCCGCCCACCTCTGCTGTCCCACGCCCACCTGCCATGCCCCTGTTTATCAGCCCCTACCAAGGAAGCAGAATTGCCTTCACCTCTGCCTGTCGCACTCCAGGTGGAAGGTGCTGAGGTTTTTGAGGGTACCGACCCCGACATCTCTCTGTCCAGGAAATCCTAGAACTCCAGGGTTCCAAGGATCCTGAAGAGTTCTCCATGGAATGCCCAGACTGACTAGGAGTCTGCAAACTGCAGCCCCCGGACAAACCTGGTCCAATGCCTGTTTGTGGATATCGCATCCCAAAGCCAAGGCCCTACCGCTCCTTCTCATGCAGCTTAGTCACTGTGGCCTTTTTCCAGTCACAGTCCTGCTTTGTATGAAGCTTGTGGGACTACTGAGACCCCCAGATCATCTTCCCACGCACGCTTGCTGAGCCAGGGCTCCCTTCCCTTTCTGCACTCCCCTGTCTTTCCTTGCATAGTTGGTTTCTCCTCCCAGCCCCCAGCCCCTGGGCCCTGCTGACACCTCCTGTACCCCCAACCCAAGGACTCACCATGGGGGAGCGTCCGTACACCACAGAGCTGCTGACCTGCGGGGACAGGTGGAGGCTGACGTAGGAGCTGGGCACCGAGAGGTCTCCGTTGAGGGTGCTGTGTGAGCCCAGGCTGAACGACGTGGTGAAGGGACTGGACAGAGTCAGGGGGCTCCTCAGGGCTGAGGGGGAAAGAGTCGGGGACACATTTTCAGACACTTGGGACTCAGATCCCGCCTCCCACTGCCTTGGGAGCTCCCTGGCCTTTCATTCAGAGTTTCCACGCTCTGGTCCCACATGGGCCACAGCCTGGGACACCTCCAGACCTCTGCACATACCGTTCCTCTGGTGGACACGACTTTCTCTTTCTTTTAAGTGACAAACTCCTACCCATCCTTCAAAACCCAGGCCCAATGTCCATTCACATCTCAGAAATATCCTTGAGATCAGGGCTGTGAGTGTGGGGGCCTTGCTACCCGGGAGTTCCTTGGAGGGGGGATTCAAGGCCAATTTCTTTCAGGAACCCCAGAACCAGCACAGAGCCTGATCGTAAGGCAGAAAAGATGAGCACTGTCATTCCCCAGGTTACTGATGGGGAAACTGAGGCTCAGAGAGGCTGGGTCACTTGCCTAAGGTCACCCAGCTGGTGAATGCCCAGGCCTGTTCTGAAACCCAAGCCTGTCTGACCCGAAACTTGTCTTTTCAGTGCAGTAGGCTGAAACCGCCAACCAAGTCACTTCCGCTCTCCTGGCCTCAGTTTCCCTACCCATCAAGCTGAGACAATGAGGAACCAGCCAGAGGGAGGCAGCATCTAACCTGAAGTCACGAAGGGACCAAGGCCATGAATGCCAAGCCCGGAATCCCAGCCTCCTGCCTCACCAGCCCCTTTTAGTAGCTGTCCCCAGAGACGAGGCCTGCCCCCGACAGGCACCAGCAGGCAAGGTGCTCACCGATGCTGTCTGTGGAAGGCGCTGGCTTGGCAGCGAGCTGGCACAGGTGACTGGCCGAGCTGGGCCCGGGGGTGGACGCGTCCTGGGGTGGGGAGGAGTCACAGGACTTGGAGGCAGGAGTGCTGGCGGGAAGGTCATTCTGCAGAGAAAGGGCAGGACTGAACGCCACCAGGCACCTGGTGACTTGTGGCCCAACGATCTGATCAGAAACTGGAGGGGCAAGTTGCGGGGCTCACGCCTGTAATCCCAACACTGGGATGCCAAGACAGCTAGATCACCTGAAGCCAGGAGTTCGAGACCCGGAGATGCAGACCCCACAGCGGCATATTCCCTGGTGAAGGAAGAGCTCCCAGTACACAGCACAATCCTCCTTGTCCCCCCACCCTCGAGAGGGAGGTGTCACCCAGAGCTGTCCCTCCCCAAGGGGAGCGCTGATAAAAGTAGCAGCTGGACCAGCATCTACGCAGGCTCTGTCATCTCGCTTCGTGTCATCACCTCCCCTGCCTTCCAAGAAAGTTCCCATCCTTGCGTCTCGTCTGTCTCCGTTTCCCACGACACCACCGCACAAACCGTGACAGCCGCACAGCTCCGGCACCCGCAAAAGACTGGAGGGGACAACTGTGGCTTCCCCAATACAACGGAGCTGCCCCATCCCCTTGTGAGGTTTTCCTGCAGTGGGAGGAGGGCACTTAAGATGGAATGGGAGCCCCAACCTCTGGTGGTTGCCATGGTAACCTGCCAGGAGGGGAGGCCTTGAAACCAGGAGGGGAGGCCTCGAAACCGACATACTCTCCCCTGGTAAGTGCGGGGGAGGGGGATCTGGGGAAGACTTGGGGTGAGGGGAGCTGAGTTTCGAATGCCCTCGGGGTGCTTTCAGATGGCTCACGTGCTTGGCATTAAACTCCAGGAGATCCAACTGGAGAGTTGTTTCTATATTAACTATCTTTCCTTCCAAGGACAGCATCTCGGCTTGGGGCCGGTGCGTCTCTAAGCGCCTCTGGAGGGGCAAAGCACACGCAGGCCTGGGTCCAGCCTAGCTAGCTGCCCAGTCTATGGCTGGGCTTTCACTGTGTTTATTTCCATAGGATTTCCTATTGATTGCCAGAGAGAGACCTGCTTTCCACGGAAGGTGGTGAACGGCCTTTTAAAATGTATCTACGAAGCTTCTTTACAAAGTTGCCTTTTAATACTTACTGAGGTTCTAGAAAGTCAGTCCAAGCAGGTTAAAACACACACACACACACACACACAGGAGAGAGAGGGTAGACAACCCCAGCCCAGCTGATTTCTCATCATTGCTCTCTGTGTCATGAGATAGTGTCTGTTTCAGGGCCTCCAGGATATACAAAGTGAGTTTCAAGGCCCTCCCCTTCTCCTTACCAGGATGAGCTCCTTGGCTCTGGGGAGTGGTGAGCCGAGGCTTGAGGCCAAGGAGGCTGGACTATCCACCAGGTCCCGATGGGCAGGAACACAGATGGGTGCCTTTCCACAGGGGGTGGTAGCTGGGCTGGGGGGCTCTGAGGGTTGGTCCTGGGTTCGAGGATGTGACATTGAGTGGAGTTGAAATGAGAGGGGAAGAAGAGTCCCTCTCTATCCTCCTCCCAACTCCCCCGCTCCCGCTTCCAGACTGGGTACTCATGACCCACTATGGGAAGATTACAAAACCCTTGGTTGCCTCAGTTTACTCATCTGTAAAATGAATTTTTTTAAGTCTTGCTGTGTCACCCAGGCTGGAGTACAGTGGCTCACTGCAACCTCTGCCTCTTGGGTTCAAGCGAGCACATCCAGCTAATTTTTTGTATTTTTAGTAGAGATGGTTTCACCATGTTGGTCAGGCTGGTTTCAAACTCCTGACCTCAAGTGATCCATCTGCCTCAGCCTCCCAAAGTGCTGGAATTACAGGTGTGAGTCACCACACCTGGCCTGTAAAATGGGTTTAATGATGTCCATAAGCACCCATAGCAAGGGCTGTATAAGAACTTGGTTTTCTTTTCTTTTTTTTTTTTTTTTTGAGACGGAGTTTCGCTCTCGTTACCCAGGCTGGAGTGCAATGGCGCGATCTCGGCTCACCGCAACCTCCGCCTCCTGGGTTCAGGCAATTCTCCTGCCTCAGTCTCCCGAGTAGCTGGGATTACAGGCACGCGCCACCGTGCCCAGCTAATTTTTGTATTTTTAGTAGAGACGGGGTTTCACCATGTTGACCAGGATGGTCTCCATCTCTTGACCTCGTGATCCACCCGCCTCGGCCTCCCAAAGTGCTGGGATTACAGGCTTGAGCCACCGCGCCCGGCCAGAACTTGGTTTTCTTTTATTTCTTTTTGAGACGGACTTTTGCTCTCCTTGCCCAGGCTGGAGTGCAGTGGCACGATACCAGCTCACTGCAACCTCCGCCTCCCGGGTTAAAATGATTCTCCTGCCTCAGCCTCCCGAGTAGCTGGGATTATAGGCACCCGCCACCACGCCAGGCTAATTTTGTATTTCTTGTAGAGGCGGGGTTTCTCCATGTTGAGCAGGGTGGTCTGAAACATCTGACCTCGGTGATCCGCCTGCCTCGGCCTCCCCAAGTACTGGGATTCAGGTGTGAGCCACCGCGCCCGGCCTGGTTTTATTTTCTCATTGAACAGATGAGAAAAGTGAGGCCAGGGAAGGGGGTGTCACTCCCCCCAAACCACTCAGTGAGCCTGAGCTTGAAGCCACGCCCTGTGCAATGGAGAGGAGGTCGGCCAGAGGTGTCCCAGAGTCCCCGACTCTTCCTGGCCCCATGCTGTCCCCATCCCAGCCACCCCACGGAGAAGAGAACCAGGATCCTCACTACCTCTGCATCCTCCCGTTCCAGATAATCCATGCTGGACCCCAGCACTCACCTCATCCACGACCAGGTTGTAGTCACTCTTATCTTCGTCGCTTTCCTGGTGGGGGGAAGTGGGGGAAGGGAGCTCATTGTGGGTAACCAGCCCGTCACCCAGGCTGGAGTGCAGTGGCGAGATCTCAGCTCACTGCAACCTCCACCTCCCGGGTTCAAGCGATTCTCCTGCCTCAGCCTCCCGAGTAGCTGGGATTACAGGTGCGCGCCACCAGGCCTGGCTAATTTTGTATTTTTAGTAGAGATGGGGCTTCTCCATGTTGGTCAGGTTGGTCTCTAACCCCTGACCTCAGGTGATCCGCCCACCAGGGCCTCCCAAAGTGCTGGGATTACAGGCGTGAACCACCGCACCCGGCTGGACTATTGTTTTTTTGAGACGGAGTTTCGCTCTTGTTACCCAGGCTGGAGTGCAATGGCGCGATCTCGGCTCACCGCAACCTCCGCCTCCTGGGTTCAGGCAATTCTCCTGCCTCAGCCTCCCGAGTAGCTGGGATTACAGGCACGCGCCACCATGCCCAGCTAATTTTTTGTATTTTTAGTAGAGACGGGGTTTCACCATGTTGACCAGGATGGTCTCGATCTTTTGACCTCGTGATCCACCCGCCTCGGCCTCCCAAAGTGCTGGGATTACAGGCGTGAGCCACCGCGCCCAGCCTGATTTTTGTTGTTTTTTTTTTTGAGACAGGGTCTCACTCTGTCACCCGGATTGGAGTGCGGTGACAAGACCACAGCTCCCTGCGGCCTTCTGTGCTCAAGCGATCCTCCCACCTCAGCCTCCCGAGCAGCTGAAACCACAGCTACGGACCACCACACCCAGCTACATTTTTGTATTTTCCTGTAGAGACGAGGTTTTGCCATGTTGCTCAGGCTGGTTTTAAACTCCTGGCCCCAAATGATTGTGGTCACGCCCCTGCCTCCGAGACCCCTATCTGCTCCCCAGGAGCTGGGGGAGGCAGCCCAGGGCATGACTGAGATTCTCAGGCCACTGCGCCCGTTTGCTCCGAGCAGAAGGGAAGGCTGCAGGTGCCCAGACCCAGGATCCGGAAAGGATGTGGGTGTGGGGAGCAGGTGCACGCTTCGTGGAGAAGAACTTTGAAAGACAGAGACTGCATCAGTGCCCTGTGTGATTCCCAGCCCTCTCAGGCCTCGGTTTACCCCTCTGTATAATGGGGGGACAGCCAGAGACCAGAATCATCCTTATCTCCTTCCTCAATCTCAACCCACAAAGCCAATCAGTCTCTTAGCATGTGGGTGTCACCAACCTCTCTGCTGACCTGCACCCACTCCCCACAGGCCTAACAGAGACCTCATCTCCTCCCAGTCCCTTCCGTGGGCTCCTGGCCTCCAGCCTTCCCCCTCCAGGCAACCCTCCAAGCTGACCCCAGACAGATTTTCCTAAGACCTATCCCTGCCTCTGCTCTGCAACCCTCTATGGCTCCCCACTGCCTTGGGAGAAAGACCAAGCCCCAGTTCCATTCACTGACGTAGAAAACATTATCCTGGGTACCACGGCAGGGGGCGGGCTGGGACGGGGCGCTGCTGACATGTTGGGCTGGAAACCAAAGGAAGACAAAGAGGCTGCAGCCTGGAAGACAAAATCCGCACAGTGGGTGGGTTCGCCCAGACTCCCCTCCCATCCCCGGGTTTCTTCTTTAAATGGAAATTAGTTGCGTCCAGGCGCGATGGCGCATGCCTGTGATCCCAGCACGCTGGGAGGCCGAGGCGGATGGATCACCTGAGGTCAGGAGTTTGAGACCAGCCTGGCCAACACGGTGAAACCTCATCTTCACTAAAAATACACAAATTAGCCGGCTGTGGTGGTGCCCACGTGTAGCACCAGCTACCCAGGAGGCTGAGGAAGAAGAATCGCTTGAACTTGGAAGGCAGAGGCTGCAGCGAGAGGAGATCGCACCCCTGCACTCCAGCCTGGGCTACAGAACAAGACTCTGCCTCAGTCAATCCATCAATCGGTCCACTGCCAAAAAGAAAGTTTTCTCTGACAAGCAGCACGATCGACCCGCACTGAGCCTGCCAGTCTCCTGAGACCAGATTGTACCTGCCCCCGTAGGTGGCACAGGTGCTCCCCAGCTGGCCACAGCCCCATTCCCCACATTTGGCCTGGCCCCGGGGACACTAGACTTTGAAACGACAGGTGTGCAGCTGTGTGGCAAAGAGAAGAGGTCCCAGCCTCTAGGAGGTGGTCAGAGAAGGCTTCCTGTAGGAGGTAGCACTTTGTGTCTTGATGGAAAAACTGGTTTCTGAAACAAGGGTGCTCTAGGGAGAGAAAACAGCTGGACTAGAAGCAACAGGGCGGGAAAAGGGCCGTACGGGCCAGAGGCCGCAGAGACGTCAAGAAACTAGAGTTAAGTCTTGCCCTATGGGATCTCTTCTGACTGGCCAGTATTCTGAGTAGTAGGGGGCTATGGAAGGCTCTAGAGTGAGAGAATCATGGCAGAGTTGGGCTCTGGAAGGCTCCGAGGGCCCCAGCTGGCCTGGGTCATGTGTGCCCACCCCAGTCCTGCACCTGTCCCTACTCACATAACGTCCCGGCAGCTCCTTTTCATCGGCTCTCTGCTTCCCACCACCACCACCGGGGCCGCTCGGTCGCTCCTCCTCCACCAGACTCTCGGGGGGCGAGGGAGACGCACTCTGCAAAGAGACAGGAGCCACGGGCAGAAACGGTCAGGGCCCTGCACCCCTAGACTGCACTGTGAACCAGCTGAGACTGAGGGTCCCCCACTGTTATTAGGGTCTGCACCTCAAGCTTCTCATCTGGGAAATGGGAGCTTCGAAGGGCTGACTCAGTGCTAAGATTTTGTTTTCTCTGAGACGGAGTCTTGCTCCGTCACCCAGGCTGGAGTGCAATGGCACAATCTCAGCTCACCGCAACCTCCGCCTCCCGGGTTCAGACAATTCTCCTGCCTCAGCCTCCCAAGTAGCTGGGATTACAGGCACGCACCACCATGCCCAGCTAATTTTTTGTATTTTTTAGTAGAGATGGGGTTTCTCCATGTTGGTCAGGCTGGTCTCGAACTCCTGACCTCAGGTGATCCGCCCTCCTTGGCCTCCCAAAGTGCTAGGATTACAGGTGTGAGACACTGCAACCGGCTGGCCTGTTTTTTCTTTCCTTTCTCTTTTTTTTTTTTTTTGAGACGGGTTCTCGCTCTGTCACCCAGGCTGGAGCGCAGTGGCGCCATCTCAGCTCCCTGCAGCCTTGGGCTTCTGTGCTCAAGTGATCCTCCCACCTCAGCCTCCCGAGTAGCTGAAAACACAGCCATGGACCACCACGGCCGGCTACATTTTAGTATTTTTCTGTAGAGACGAGGTTTTGCCATGTTGCTCAGGCTGGTCTCAAACTCCTGGCCCCAAATGATTCTCCCACCTCTGCCTACCGAAGCGCTGGGATCACAGGCCTGAGCCACCACACCCAGGCGAGGTCTCATTCTGGCGCCCCCATCAGCTCAGAACCAGCGTCGGTCCCCCGAGAATACAAAGGGAGTCCCGGGGTGCCACTCACTCACCCTGCTCGGGGCTCTCTCCACTGGCAGATTGGGAATGAAAGAGAGAGGGAGAAAGAATGAGGCATTTGTGTCCATGGCGCCAGAGTCCAGCTGTCCAGTTTACGCAGCCCCGCCCCCCCGCCCCGCTGAGTCTCCCTATCCTTCCAACACCCTTCCAAGTGGCGGATTATCCCTCCCCTGCACTTAGATCACGGCCCAGAGAGAGGCAGTGACTTCCCCAAGACGCACAGCCCACTGGGGGTAAAGCTGAACCCACGGCCTTGCCGCCATTCTCGTTATTCCTCTCAAACTTTAAGAGATGGGGGTTAGACAACAGGTGCTGGAGAGGATGTGGAGAAACAGGAACGCTTTTACACCGTTGGCGGGAGTGCACTTTAGTTCAACCACTGTGGAAGGCAGAGACGATTCCTCAAAAATCTTAAACTAGAAACGCCACTTGGCCCAGCAATCCCTGAGGACTGTAAATCGTTTCATTATAAAGACACATGCGCACCTGTGTACCTGCAGCACTGTTCACAATAGCAAAGGCTTGGGACCAACCCCAATGCCCGTCAATGACAGACTGGATAAAGAAAACGTGGCACATAGACACCGTGGAATACTATGCAGCCATAAAAAAGGATGCGTTCACGACCTTTGCAGGGACGTAGATGAAGACGGAAACCATCACTCTCAGCAAACTGACACAGGAACAGAAAACCAAACTCCAGATGTTCTCACTCATAAGTGGGAGTTGAACAGTGAGAACACATGGAAACAGGGAGGGGAGCATCACACACTGGGGCCTGACGGGGGGTGGGAGGCAAGGGGAGGGCGATCCTTAGGAGAAATCCCTAATATAGATGACGGGGTGATGGATGCAGCCAACCACCGTGGCACATGTGCACCTATGTAACAGACCTGTATGTTGTACACACGTACCCCAAAACTTAAAGTATAATAAAAAAATTAAAAAGGAAAAAAAAGAGATGGGATCTTGCTCTGTTGCCCAGGCTGGACTACAGTGGCCCCATCACAGCTCACTGCAGCCTCAACCTCCCGGGCTCAAGCAATCCTCTCACCGCAGCCTTGGGAACATAGGTGTGCAACACCACACACAGCTAATTTTTAAATTTTTGTAGCGATGGGGTCTCACACTGTTGCCCAGGCTAGTCATGAACTCCTGGGCTCAAGTGATCCTCCCGCCTTGGCCTCCCAAAGTGCTGGGATGACAGGCGTGAGCCACCTCACCCCTCACGCTGATGTGTTTGGTGCCCGGCCTGCCCGCCCTCCTCCCCAGCCCCAGCCCCCTGCCAAGGCCACACTCTGCACTGCCCACTCACCTCGGGACCCCTCAGCCTCCACGCCTGCACGATCTTCCTTGACAGCTGCGGCCAGCTGAGCCTGGGCAGCCAGGGCTCCAGACAGGGCGAGCAACCCCGTGGTACTGCTGCCCACCAGCCCAGCTGGGCGGGGGGTGAGGGGCACAGGAGGGGCGTGGTGGGACAGCGGCTGGAGCTGCTGCTGCTAGAAAGGAGGGAGGATGGGCTGGGGCGGGGGGCGGGAGGAAGGGGGTGGGGGATGGCGGGAACCTTGTGGTCCCTGGCCCAAGAGGTGGACACTGGGATGGGAACTAAGCACAGCGTGTGCCCCTGGGGTTCCCACGATGGCTGGAGCCCAGGCCCACCCACCACCCTCAGCTTTAACACCTCCTGGGTAGGTGCCAGGGACCTGGGGGTGGGCATGTCCCCATGGCAGGGCAGAGGCTGCAGAGACTCACCCCGATGAGGCTGTTCAGCTCCCCCACGGTGACCTGCTTGGCACGCTCTACAGCCTGGAGCACCTGCTGCTGGTGCTGGGGAGGGGGACCAGGAAGAGGGTACACTGAGCCCCTGCTCAGCCAAGCGGTGCCCCTCGGAGCCCTGACCTCTTCCCATCACCCTCTCATCTTTGCCCCGGTACCTCCCATTTTTCCAAGACAGAGTCTCCCTCCATCACCCAGGCTGGAGTACAGTGGCTTGACCTCAGCTCACTACAACCTCTGCCTCCCGGGTTCAAGCAATCCTCCTACCTCAGTCTCCCGAGTATCTGGGGCTACAGGTGCATGCCGCCACACCCCGTTAATTTTTTGTATTTTTTATTAGAGATGAAGATTTCACCACGTTGTCCAGGCTTGAACTCCTGATCTCGTGCTTTCCCACCTGGGCCTCCCAAACTGCTGGGATTACAGGGTTGAGTCACTGGGCCCACAGTTACAATAATTATAAACCAGGCCAGGCGCGGTGGCTCAGCAGCCCGTAATCCCAGCACTTCAGGAGGCTGGGGCAGGCGGATCACGAGGTCAGGAGCTCGAGACTAGCCTGGCCAACACGGTGAAACCCCATCGCTACTAAAAATACGAAAATGAGCTGGGTGTGGTGCTGCGTGCCTGTAGTCCCAGCTACTCGGGAGGCTGAGGCAGGAGAACCTTTTGAACCCGGAGGTTGCAGTGAGCCAAGACTGCACCTACTCCAGCCTGGGTAACACAGAAAGACTCCATTCAAAAAAAAAAAAAAAGAGAATAATTACAAATTAGTCTCTCCTTCTGGGCACTGAAGACATTTGCGACTGGATCGTTCTCTGGGGCGGTGCCATCCCTAGCACTGCAGGGGGCTGAGCAGCGTCCCTGACCTTCACTCACTCCACGCCAGGGGCACCCCCCCCCCCGTTGTGACAAACACAGATGTCTCCTGGTGGTAAAACTGTCCCCAGGAGAAAACCACTGTGATAAATCAGCACCACAGGCCCTCCTCCTAAGAAACAGCAAATGCCAGACTCCAGGAGCCCCCTCCGCTCCCTGCCGTCACAGCACCCTCCCGTCCCCTTCTCCACCTTCGTGACAATCACTGCTTTGTCTGTCTGTACAATTCTGCCTCCCACGATCGCCTTCCTAAACCTGCTTGGATTTGTCCATTTTGAACGTCCTGTGGGCTCATTCTCTGTGTTCTGTTTGGCGTCTGGCCCCCCTCAGCGTTAACATTTTAAGCTCCATCCCTGATGTGGTGGGTGGCGGCAGCGGCGTGTTCGGCTTACAGAGCTTCGGGGCTCTGCCGTGAGAACATGTTCTATCTGGGCCGGGCGCGGTGGCTCACGCCTGGATTCCCAGCACTTTGGGAGACTGAGGCGGGTGGATCACTTGAGGTCAAGAGATCGAGACCATCCTGGTCAACATGGTGAAACCCCATCTCTACCAAAAAAAAAAAAAATTAGCTGGGCGTGGCACCAGGTGCCTGTAGTCCCAGTTACTCAGGAGGCTGAGGCAGGAGAATTGCCCGAACCCAGGAGGCGGAGGTTGCGGTGAGCCGAGATCGCGCCATTGCACTCCAGCCTGGGGAACAAGAGCGAAACTCCGACTCAATAAATAAACAAATAAACATTACTAGTTAACCTTCGTGAAAACCACCACACGGGGCTGGTGACTCCGGTGTGGGACAGCGGAACGGCAGTGTATGGCACTATAGGCAGCTTGTGTATATGTGCTTTTGAGGACAGGCATTTGGGCTGCCCCCACCAAGGAGGTATCAGGATGCTGATACAGAGCTCCCACGGTGGCGCACCTGTGTGGGGGTGTGTGTAGAACGGGGTGGAAGACCTTCTAGAAAGGCCAGAGGGTGAAAATGTTTTCCTTCTGCACGTCAGAGGTCTCTGTTGCAACTACCAAACTCTGTTACTGCAGTGGGAAAGCTGCTGGGAATGGGATGTACACGAGTGGGCGCGGCTGTGTGCCGATAAAGCTTTATTTACAAAAACAACTGGAGGGCCACAGTTGGCCCTAGAGCTGCAGCTTGCTGATTTCGGAAAATGTGTGCCTTTACTCATCCCTTTCAACCGTCCTTTTACCTAAACTTTTTTTTTAGATGGAGTCTTGCTCTGTCACTCAGGCTGGAGTACAATGGTTCGAATCTCGGCTCGGTGCAACCTCTTCCCCAGCGCCCAATTCCAGCAATTCTCCTGCCTCAGCCTCCCCATCGGCTGGGGCTATAGGCACACAGCACCATGCCTGGCTAATTTTTTAAAAAAATTTTTAATCGAGATAGGGTGTCCCCATACTTGACAGGCTGGACTCAAATTCCTGACCTCTGGTGATCCACCCGCCTCAGCCTCCCAAAGCACTGCGGATTACAGGCCGCTTTAAGCGTTTTTAAGTACACAGCTCAGCAGTGTTAAGCGCATGCGTGCGCACACGCACACACACACACACGCACGCACACACGCACGCACACGCACACACACACGCGCACGCGCACACACACACGCACACACACACGCACACACGCACACACACACGCGCACACACACACACACACGCACACACACACACACAGTTGTGCAGCCCTCGCCAGCATCATCTCCAGAACCGTCCCATCTTCCCAAACGGAATTTCTCTCTCCAAGAAACACTCACTCCCTGTCCCCTCCCCAGCCCCTGGCACCGCCCATTGTACTTTCTGTCTCCGTGAGCCTGACCCCCGGACTTCCTGGGAGTGGATCACCCAGTGTTTGTCCCTCTGTGTGATTTCTCCTAGCAGGACGGCAGGGTTCACGTCCATCGGGTGCTGACTGAGCGTATGAGCTCATCTCAACCTCACACCTAAGCTACTGAAAAAAAAAAAAACACAGAAGTTGGCCGGGCGTGAAGGCTCACGCCTGTAATTCCAGCACTTTGGGAGGCAGAGGCAGGTGGATCACCTGAGGTCAGGAGTTCAAGACCAGCCTGACCATCATGGTGAAACTCCATCTTTAAAAAAAAAAAAAAATACAGAGTTAAGCAGGTGTGGTGGTGCGTGCCTGTAATCCCAGCTACTCGGGAGGATGAGGCAGGAGAATTGTTGGAACTCAGGAGGCGGAGGCTGCAGTGAGCCAAGACCGCCCCACTGCACTCAAGCCCAGGTGACAGACTGAGGCTCTGTCTCAAAATAAAACAAAACAAAAACCAGCCAGGCAGGTGTCCTGCCGGAGGCCACACAGCCAGGATTCAGACCCGGGCAGCCAACGTGCAGGGCTTCGGGGGTCAGCTCTCTGCCCAGCTTCCAATCAAGGAGGAAGAAAGCACTCAGTCCTCAGCCAACACCTCCCTCCATCCCGGCAGCCCGTGCCCCAGCTGGGTGTCTGGCCTCAGGGCTGGGGACTACCGCAGTGAGAAACGGTCTCTATCTGGGCTGCAGGTTACCGCAAAATCAGCGCCTGGGGCGTCCTCTCCCAGACCTACCCCCTCCCATCTTCTTCCAGACTCTTTCCCCTCCTCCCCCCACCCCCAGGCCCACTCACCTCCTGGGTCAGGAAGGGAATAATCTGAGCGCAGATACCACTCAGGCGCTTCACAATCTCCGCCTGGCAGGAAGGAAGGAGAGGAAGCTTGGAGCCGGGTGGACACTTGCAACCCGGCTCTGGACACCCAGGCGCACCTGCGAGGCGCGAGGGTTAGGGAGGCGGCGTCCACAGGTGCACGGAGGGAACTCGGGCCAGCTAGGCAGGGGCCGAGGCCAGATTCAGAGCCCCGCCAGGCTGTTTGCTCAGCTGAGCGAGGCCAGGGGTGGCCTGTAGCCAGGAAGACTCCGGCTGAGGCTGAGTGAGGTCCCGCCAGACGCACACCCACCGGGGATTTGCAGGAGGCAGCGCACAGACCCCCAACTCAGACACACACTCAGAGGCTCTGGGGTCAGCAGAAACAAAGGGAAGGGGCCTCCGCCTGGAGTTCCAGATCCCGGCGCTGGCTGGCCCCAAGCCTCTCCCAGGCAAGGCCCCTCTCCAGAAGCCTCATCTGCTTCCCCGGGCTGATCGACCCGCTGGGGATGCCTCCAGGTGGAGATCTCAGCGCTCCACACTCAAGGGAAGGGTTTCACCTGGAGAGCGTCTGGGCCCAGGTGCCCCGAAGAGACTAAGGAGGGGAGAGGGCGTGTGGGTGGGGAAGGGGGCGGGTAGACAAAGGCCCAGACGCTCTCCAGGAGAGTGGAACCCGGATCCCAGGGTGTCTGGCACCCCATAAGAGAGTCTGTTTCGTGTACCCATGGGGCCATGCCATGCTTCAGCAGACAAGCCCCCTCCCGCACACATCAGAACCGACCAGAGCCCCCCAGACGCAGGAAAGCATGCCAGGATGCGCACCCCCAGGGTCCCCACACTCCCAGCCCACCCCCTTCTCCTTCCCAGCCACCAGCAAGTCCCAATGCAAAGCTCTACTCATGGAAGCTGATATCCTGGTGGAATCTAAGGGCCC